CGAGTTCATCACATCATTGTTGTGTAAATTAATAATCAATGAGTCATCTAAATACTTCATTGCATCTTTTAATTTTAAAGCACCAACTCCATTGGCACCATCAAACTCTATGATAGGACTATAATTTTTATAGTCAGAACACTAAGTAGAAATATTGTTTAATTTAAGTATATTTTTATACTTATTTTAAATAATAGACTTTTATATATTTACCATTTTTCGCATTTTCTTAAAAGAATTAGTTAATTTTGTAAAGTATGAATTTTCATTTGGCTGTCCATACAAACCATTTGTGTTATAGCACCTAACAAAATAATGTAACATTGGAGTTGTTATAACTCCAAAATCTTCATAATCACTTTTAAATATTTCTAAACCTAAAATTACTGCTTTAAGCAATCGCTCTCCCGAGTTTCTACAAAATATTTTCAACATTTTATTGTAATAAAATACTATATGACGTACTTTGAAATTACCTAGTGTCTCGTCCGACATAGACTTTAGGTTTATAACCAGAATCAATATTATACTTAAGTACTATTTTACTTAAAATATTGCATACATTATCATTATTTAAAGCATTTGACAATTCTGTTGCATATTCTTCCCATGTACTTTCAAGCATTTCCCCTTGCGGGTCAATCAATTTAACTCCATTATCATCTTGTGGATTATGGGAGGCTGTAATCATCAACCCAACTCGGGCTGACTTTAAACACATTGATCGTAAAGCAACTAATAAACTCATTCTATGCACTACATGATCTAGATAATCAGATCTAATAAATAATAATACAATAAAATTAAGTAAACTATACTACACATTAATTTATTTTTTAATGCAACTAATACTCACTTGCATCGTATACCAGAAGTTCCGTACTGAAAAGTAATGTTTCCAGGATTTGGATACAAATCTTTATTTCTATCATTATAAAACTTATTCAACCACATTTTTAAGATTTGTAAACACTAAATTATTTCTAAAATATTTCCACTTAACATAAATTTATAAAAGAGATAAGATTATAATTAAATTAAGACGTGTTATTCATAACAAATTTAAACTACAAAACAATCACTAAATAATTCATGAAAATTACATAATTCGAACATTCTAATTCTTCCCTACTCTTAATAATGATATATAAATAATCAAAACGAATTAGTATCTTAAGACTAGTACAAAAATTGGTCAATAAACAAAGGTGGGGATATATAGAAATACTTTCAATGCAATAAACTGGATATTTAATTAAATAATAATTAAAGCATTACAGTTAAACGTTTTATGAAAGCATATAATGTTCAATAAACGGCAATGATAAAGAAACATTTACATGTCATTTTTTTAATTTAATTTGTTATAGAAAGATGATTCATATATACTAAAATAAATTTAATTTTAACAAAATTCATAATAAGAATCATATATACTAAAATAAATTTATTTTCAATTAAATTCATCAAAAATTCTTATTTCTTAATATCACATAATCTACGTCAAATACACATCGCATTTATTCTGATATGTTAACACTACTAAACATTTTACGTTTTTGACCAAATTGAGTGATAAAAAACGGTCACTGTTATATATGAAATTTCTCAATCACAACGTGATTATGACACCATATATGAAAATTATTAATTTTAGGTAAAACACCACTTAAATTATCAGTAATTTTTAGTTTTTGTAAAGATAAAAACTATTTAGTTAAAGAGTCCCTTCAATATTATGTTGATAATTATTAATTTTTTCATCACTTCAAAGATAAAAAACCTAAATTTTAATTTACTTATATAGGACAATTATAATTAATATTCGAACGCTTTTTCTTTTTTCTAATCGTATATAACAAGCCTTATTCTTCTTAA